TATATATATGTAAATGTGTGTTTGTATATATATATATATATATATAGATATATATATATATACATAATATATATATATATATATATATATATATATACATATATATATATACACACACACACACACACATATATATATATATATACATTTATATAAGTATATACATATATATATATATATATATATACATACAATCATACATGTATATATATAAATATATAAATATATATATATATACATATGTGTATATGTAGTATATATATATATATATATACATATACATATATATATATATATATATATATATATATATATATATATATATATATACATATATATGTATATATACAAATATATAAATACACATCCATCTATCTACCTATCCATCAATCCATCCATCCATCCATCCATCCATCCATCCATCTATCTAATATCTATCTATCCACCCATCCATCCATCCATCTATCCATCTATAGATCTATCTATATATCCATCTATATTATATATATACTTACATACATACATACATATATACATACATACATGCATACATGCATACATACATACACACACACACACACACACATATATATATATATACATATATAAATATATAAAATAGTATAACTGGTCAGTTTTTGCATAAAATGAGGGAAGAATAAATAACCTTTCCTGCCTTGACAACATGAAAGTATGCCTGCCACAAGGCGAAAGTGAGATAAAAAAGATCGTTTGAAAGAACAATGTGATATCTGTCAGGTGGTAGACGAGATAGAACGGCAATCTTCATCGATTAGATGCATGTAAGGGATTACACCGGCTTGCGCGGTAATGCTTTTTAAAGCTCTGATAGGCGTGCCGATAATCGCTAAACGTGGAGCTATAAAGTAATTCTTAATATACGATATATAGATATGCGTGCACATAGTAAAGCGCCATAACCTCTGCAGAGAATATTCGGAGGCGGGCCGACATGGGCTTAAATAAGCTTGGTTTTGTATACAGTACATATCCTCCCCATCACAGATAAGCCATATTACATCATGGGAAACATAGCTAAGATACACTCGAACATACGTGCAAGAGCAGCTCTCGCCCTGGCATCGTCCCATTCCTTTTGTTTGGCAGCAGCCCTTTCCTCAGCGTTGTCCGTGAAAACATCCTGAACAATTTCCCCTGATGCTACGAATTTGCTCATGATATGTGCATATGATGTAGAGAAACAATCTGGATCGAGCGTTTCTCGATAAGTACATTATTGAACTTTGTATTTTTGAGCAGAAGGCTATGAGCTACATGTCGGCTTTACATCACATTCCGAATTATATTTATTTTATATTCCGACCAGTGGACACACCAAGTGACCAAGAAAGGACTTCTGATCAGGCTACATCAGTCCCCTCCAACTCCAGAGGAGGGACCGAGAGGCAGTCATCAGAGCCAGGGGCCGAGGGCTGCAGAACAGTCCAAAAGTACGAAGAGTCCAGATCCAGGGGAATTCATACTCATGACTACACACTCATTCAAGATCCAGGACCAGGGTTTTTGGGGTTTAGGGTTTTTTAATCATCAATGTTTTGATGATGTGTATTTAATGAAACGTCTGTGTTATCTGCAGCTCATTGACCTGAATACCTCTAAAACAAAATACTTCATTTGTATGAAGTTGTGGCTTGGGAAGATCGCCATATCTATATCCTCCACCACGAGACCTCTAGAACATGCCCACCTTGCAGTTCGAATCTGTCTTTTCGGTCGCACCCTCAAAGTCCATCCCTCTAAGAGTGTTCTGTACGTTTCCTTAAGATACGCGAGTACCTGATCAGTATCCTCCTTTCAACTAGGGCTCGAGAGATCACCGGTTATTAACTGCCAGCTTTCAAATCAGTAAGTCACCCACTGTATGTACCTTTGTAGTGCTACACCCACGCTTAGCAGCTACACTCCGTTCTCTATCTGTGTGCGTAAAGCTTAATGCCTATTACTCAAGCCATAAATATGGGTAGTACAACTAAGAGTACATGTATTTTCTGCACTGCTTATTTTGGTAGACGTGCATCCATCGGTCACTAATAGGAGCTTCACATACGCTGAGTTGTGTTTCAGAATGAAAGCGCGCGGTTATAAACGGATCATTAATGACGTATACCAGGTATATTTGCCAAACAAGTCCACCGTGTGTTGTGTAATTGTTTCAATGTGTTGTTTTGTCTGCGTGGTTTTCCACGGATTTGACAAAAATACCTTAAAGAGTCATTTGTATGAGGTCGTGGCTTAGGAAATCTCCATATCTATATTTTAACCACCAAGAGACCTCAGAAAGTGCCCACCTTGCAATTCGAATCTGTCCTTTCGGTCGCACCCTCAAAGACCATCCCTCTAAGAGTGTTCTGTACGTTTCCTTAAGATACGCGAGTACCTGATCAGTATCCTCCTTTCAACTAGGGCTCGAGAGATCACCTGTTATAAACAGCCAGCTTAAAAATCAGTAAGTCACCCACTGTATGTACCTGTGTAGTGCTACGCCACGCCTAGCAGCTACACTCCGTTATATATCTGTGTGTGTATGGCTTATTTTCTTTTACTCAAGCCTTAAATATAGGTAGTACAACTAGAGTATGTGTATTTTTTGTACGAAATTTGATAGGCGTGCATCCATCGGTCACTTGAGTTGTTAGAGTATTAAGAGCTTCACATACGCTGAGTTATGTTTCAGAATGAAAGCGCGCGGTTATAAACGGATCATTAATGACGTATACCAGGTATATTTGCCAAACAAGTCCACCGTGTGTTGTGTAATTGTTTCAATGTGTTGTTTTGTCCGAGTGGTTGGCTATTCGCCTTACTTTTCCACAGATTTGCTAAATTACACCACTAAAATACTTATTGAAGGACTCCAAATGTCAGGCATGTGTTATCAATAGACAATGGGAAAGCAAAAGAACATAAACATACACTCTGTGAACGCTATTCGCACTTTGATCTATAACCCAATTTAATGCATCCAATATCAGGTATGTATCATCAATGGACAAAAGAAAAGCCAAAGAACATGAACATACACTCAGTGGACGCTATTCGCACTTTGATCTATAAACTATTTCTAAGATAGAGTTCTGGTCAAACTATTTCTCTTGGACGTGATGTCACTGTGCCTGTGAATATTAGATTATCAGAATTAATATATTAAAGCCCTCATAGGTTATGTGGTAGGTACTCCCGTCAATTTTGAAGCATCGATCATGAACAAAGTGAAGCGGAGCTAACCTATCATGCCGGCTTATTTAAAACAGACGGGCACAAAGAATATGGGGAAACAACATATTCCAAAGCCTGTAGAGAGGGAGGGAGATGATGCTCAGATTGTAATTGAACCGGGTTCAAACACTTCATTAAATAGTGAAAGACGTGCGAGTTACAACCTACCCAACGATGCGACGAGAAATCCTGTGGTTAAGCTTCTCAAAAGAGGGAAAAAGGAAACACCGTGTGATGACCAAGGTAACTGGTTCTTGAATGTCACATAGGGTTGTTTACGCACACTCAAGTGTTCTTTTTGTCATTGATGACATAGTGATCTATTTGTAGCAAAATCACGTATCTGGTTAAGTAACCCAAGGCCAGCAATTAAGTTAGAAGCACATTCCAAAGCTGAAAAAGATATTTTTCATCTCCCCGGTAGGAATCCCATTGCATTTGGATGCCGAAGGTAGACGCCGTCTTATAATTGTGAGGAAATGGGCAAAGTACTTAGATACAGCCATACGCATACCAGGGCTGGGCTGGGAATTCGGGATCGATCCTATTGTCGGCCTAATTCCAGGGTTTGGTGATTTGGTGGGTGCAGGTTTGGGGTCTACTGTTATAGCATTGGCTGCGAAATGGAGACTACCTAAAAGGGCTCTGGTGCGCATGACTATCAATCAGGGAATCGATTTCTTCGTCGGGATCATACCGTTCTTTGGAGATATATTCGACTTTGTCTTCAAGGCCAACAAGATGAATTTGTATATTATCGAGTGTTACATCGTTGATGAAAAGGTATATACGTGTGCCACGTGATTTATTGTGTACTTTTTGTTTATTGCATGTACCGTGTGGGTGCGTATTGAACTTCATATCCTTCAGTCAATTGATAAGTACGTCGTCCCGATTTCTTTCAAATGTCAGACATCAATTTTGCTTGATATTTGTAGTGTTCTATATTCTTGAATTCCTTCGTTTCGCCGTCTATTTCGTCATGAAGTTTCATTTTATACTTTTGCACAGAGAGCTCGAAGCGCTGACGGGAAATTCTATTGCTGCCTGCTTACCACCATGATATCGATGTGGATAATTTTCTTCGCTATCATCGGCTTGATCATCTGGGGGATTATCGCATTGGTCAATAGTTAGCACGTTGCTACCAGATGACAACCGTGTACTTCAAAGTATACTATACCATACTACTGGGTCACCATCGTACATCGAGGAGTCTACAATAATGGAACATTCCTCTATAGTTTCAGTTACAGGGATATCATCAGTCAGGTATATTAATCAAGGCTGATTTGGTTGGAGCACAGCCACTCCTGAATCCAATTGTAAAAAAATAGCCTAGACCAGCTATTAGTCTGCATATATTTATGTCTGTCAGTATTCGACAGCGGCAATGGTTGATACACAACAAGGATCTGCGCACATCATCAACTATTGGGTGATAGCGTACCAATTTAAGAGTCCTAAATAATATTAAAACATTACCATTAAAATACATTAAACAACATTCTTCAAGTTGTTAATGGCGGCGTATTGACGATCACTTGCCTTCCGTATCTCAGGTTTCGAACCTCGCTGGCAAAAGATGTCTCTGTTTACACGCGTATATTGTTCGCTCTCTATGGTCATCACAAAAATAAATGACGTTATTAATTTCACGGCGAATACTGTAGAACATCACGCCTTGTTTTTGAATATGTCAGTTGGTGAAGTTTATTGAATCTAAATCGCGCTCTGGTTTGGCACTCAGACTCAGAGGAATTGTCACGATGATATGAGATCGCAAATGAAAGCCATATTATTTGAGTATTTCCGCCCAGCCAACTAATAAGTACTGCACTGTGTACTGATTGAAATCTTACTCTCCCTACGCACGTCAGGTGGGGTAATTTCATTCTCAGTTGGCGCTGTTAAGCATGAAATCCTACCAACAGACACACTCCGCCCAGCAGGACTCAATGATTCACGTACAAAGCCAACTACGTTTTGCGCATCACTGCAACAGTTCAAAGCATCCGTACACGTTCTGGCACACTGCCATTATTTTATTTATGCCAGGTTGCTTCACCACCTCCTTGTCACCATGCAGCCATCGCTTGTGCCATCGGCAAGAGTGATCTGATAGAATACCAATTGATCTCTCCAAGAAGAGGCGGCGTTGGCTGTTCTACTAAACAAATAATGAGCGCAGCTACAACAGACTAGCAGGGTGTGCGATGGGCAAGATGTTCTGAAACGCTAGCCCAACTGGCCACCAGAGGGGCAGAAAAGGTAAAATTGCGAAAGAGTAGGTTTAGTCATTTCACACAGACACAGGACGCTAACGACTTCTTGTATTGACCACTGGACTGCTGGCGCGTCGCTGAACGGTACAAGAAGACTTGTACTTCAAACATGCGGAATACAACAATCGTTGTTAATAAGTGAATCTAGCCACCACCTGATGTACTGACATTCTGATTTCCATCCATTTCCATAACACTACTCATTTCTAGGTGGCTTTCAGAGGAAAGTTACGGTTGCGACAAATAAATATACAATCAAGGTTGTGATATATGATTCCTGCTTAAAACAGGTGGCAGGTAGCCCACACCTTATTTTATTTTGTCAGCAGCGTTGTCAGTGCGGTTCATTGATAGCGAATTGAAACTTGCGACTTTTATAGCAAGAGCAGCTGGAACATCTGCCTGCATACGAGCAAACTTCACAGCCATCTGCAGCTTATAATCTATGAAGATGACTGTTGCTGTTTTAGCCTACCCCTCGTCCGAGTGTGAAGAAATAGCACCAACAGTACTCAAAAGGAACAGTTTTTTATACGTGGTGTAATGTGATGTTGTTCACTTGTCCATGGGGATGTACACACTCTTGGTCTGTGTATATGAATCGATGGCGGACTCTCCCAAATCGCGACCAATACCACTCATTTTGTATCCGCCAAATTCGGAGTGGGCATCGAAAACATTGTAGCAGTTCACCCACACGGTACCTGGTGTTCAAACAATGGAAGAAGTGGAAGTGAATACGTGAAATATATGAATGTATGCGAATGATGTATTTCTTGCATGCTTGTTGATGCTGACATCTTGAAAGGCTAAATAGAGTGAGTGTAATTATGCGTGAACGGGTTCTGAATGTGCGTGAATACACTGAAGTAATGACTTTTGTATATTATAAAATATTTTCTGATATCTATCCAAATGTACCATATGGAATACCCAATGCAATTCGTATATGAAGATCTGTGACGGATGTATTGGCACTATATGCACAATTCACTTACCCATACATACACATTTACCTACATCATTACCTGCACACAAACATCAAAATGAATATATGCGCAGACATATATCACCACACACACGATCGCACACATACCTGCCCGGAGACCGGTAGCCAACTTCAGAGCTCTTCCCACATCGCGGGTACACACACCGGCTGCCAAGCCGTAGATGGTATCATTCGCACGGTCCAGTATTTCGTCGTAGTCGTGGAACTTCAACACGGACATCACTGGTCCGAAAATCTCTTCGCGAGCAATCGTCATGTCATCTGTGACATCAGAGAAGATAGTCTGCGGTACAAAGTAGCTGTTGGGAGAGGGGGAAGGAAGGGGTATTAGATTTAGGCGAATTCATTATCTCTAAGAGGCCGTCACTCGCAGTTGCTGAGCCATATGACCCCATATAACCATCAAAACACGGCCTATCCAGTTGAGTGCTTGCTGATGCAAACCGGACAGTCATTTTCCGGGATATACCACCGCCAACTGCGCATTGACTTGTTGATGTGCTTGATTCGAAACTGGATAGGGTGGGCTACATCCACATCTTCGGGCTAATCAGAATGTAGGAACATACAGAGACACACATCACATCAGGTCACGCTAAACGTATCATACCCTTTCTTCCCCAGAGCTTCCCCTCCCACGACCACTTTCGCGCCTTGTTTCTTTCCCGCCTCGATGTAATCGTTCACCTTCTTGAATTGAATGTCGTCTACGATAGGCCCCTGGGTGCTCTCCTCTGAAAACTGACCGCCGAGCTGATAAAATCAACGTACAACAGGACATGCTTGGTTAGCATGAGTGCGGGACATTAGTATCGGGCTATACAAACCCATTTGCCACTAGAATATCAGAGAGAACAAAGGCTGCCCAGCTCACAAAACCTACACGCCAACGGGCCAAGATTTACTGCACGACATCATGAAGCTTCTACACACTTTGACGTCCTTGGCAAGCGCCGCTGCTTTCTCCAGAAACTGGTCGTGTACGGCGGCGTGTACGTACACACGGGAAGATGCACAGCAACACTGTCCATTATTCAAAAACAGTCCGGTGTGTGCTGCTTGCACGGCCTGTTTCGGCCCAAAATGAGGAAGGAGGTGGGACAGGTGTGAGAAACTGTCAGCAACGCGTACCGGCTATGCCTACGCATGGGCCGATCGAAACATGCAGTACACAACAACAAATGATAAGATTAGGAAAAACCCACGAGTAAAAACGACCGCGTCTTCACACTGAATAGGACTCAACGTATCATACCTGATAGAGATCGGCATCGTCGCAAATAATAAGGGGCGACTTGCCACCAAGCTCTAGGGTCACGGCCTTCAAATTTGACTCAGAGCTGTACTGCTGGATTTTCTTTCCGGTCAGGGTGGAACCGGTGAAAGAGATCTAGGGGTAAGGCATGAAGGTAGGTAAGTGAAGGCTACATATTGAAACAAATGATATGCATCATATATCGAACTAATAGCTATTACGTGCTGTTCTACAGGTCAACTAAAACCCGCGACCAAATAGGCATCAGCGCACAGGTGTCGAACGAACGCATGCATATATTTACAGCCCCGTGTGGGCGGATAGAAGCCCGCATCAAGTATATTGGTTTCAGCATGGGACAATACGAAGATATTTTCACCCCTTACCTTGTCGATCTTCATGTGAAGAGCGATGCGCTTTCCTGTAGTAGGACCAAAGCCACTGAGGACGTTCAACACACCTTGAAATTAATGATAGCGTGGGGTGTGAAGTGGTTACAAAAACTGATATAAACAGTGTTAGCAATATTTACAGCCCATCTATTCGTAATTCTCGAAAATAAAACGGAAATAGTCCATGATTCAAAAGAAGGAGAATGACAGGCACTCTGTGGGTACACCTATACGTAGTCCACCCATACAATCAACACTCCAATTCCTTTTTTACCTGGCGGGAAACCGGCCTCGACAGTGAGCTTGGCGATGTGAAGTGCAGATAGTGGAGTTTTCTCGGAGGACTTCAGAACAATTGTGCACCCAGCGGCTAATGCAGGTCCACACTGTGAAAGAACGTGTTGATCATTTAAAATAATGCTTTGCAACACACATTTTTTTTATGTAATGTTTGGATAGATATTAAGAAGAATGGTTGGTGTATATAAGAATATTCTTATCGCCGTGTCGCCATAACTAATAAACGTTTGACATCCATAAGTCATTAGCACAGTTCTTGATTCAGGTTTGAATGCATCTGACTACATTGATGCCAGAAAGCTGGAGACCTCCGACGGACCCTGATAGCAGACAGCACAAACAAAGTACAGTCTGATACGCCTCGTTGTCATCATGAGAGGCAACGTTCCCATTAAAAACATGCACACACGCACGGATCAATCATTCTAGTTGTTACGCACATACAGCACAGCTCGTACCTTCCAAGCCATCATGAGAGCGGGGAAGTTCCAAGGAACGATCGCACCCACGACGCCGATAGGTTCTTTAATTTGCATGTTGAACATATTGGGCACGTTTACTTTGGAGATGCGTCCGCTGCCCTTGTCACACATAGATGCGTAGTAACGGAATACTTCCTGGACGAGGTGAATGTCCACGGAAGTACCTGGACAGGCCAAACATGCAGAATATATTTTAATATGTTAGGGTTGGTAAAGTCAAATCAGCTGCGCATGAAAGGGAAATCGTAGAGATAGGATTGCTAGACATAAGTTACAATTTGCCATACAAACCCCACTCTAATATTGTCTACATAGGAAAGGATAGAAGCTCACTGGTCCAAAACTACATCCCGGCTAATAGATAACAACAGACTCACCATATGCATTTCCGTGAGCTGCCACTGGTTTGCCATTGTCCAAAGCTTCAAGTTCAGCCAAGTAAGAAGTATCTCTTACGATCAAGTCGGCGAGTTTAATCATCAAATCCCGGCGCGCGTGGGGTAGCATGTCACGCCACTCTGAGCCACGGGCAAATGCATTATTGGCCGCCTGTATATATGTTAATTTATCTTAAATGCATGTCTTTGATAAAACATATATAGATATAGATTATACTATATATATATATATATATACACACACACACACACATATATATATATATATATATACACACACACACACATATATATATATATATATATATATATATTTGTATATTTGTATATATATATATAATATATAAATATATATATATATATATATATATATATGTATATATATATATATATATATATATATATGTGTATATATATATATATATATATGTATATATATATATATATATATATATATAAGCAGCAGCAATACAATCACAAGCTTCACTGTCGAACCATATTTGGCACGGACGTGGGTCGATACATAATCTATACATAGCACAAAAAGCGCACCTCTACGGCCGTGTCAACATGCTCGTCATTGGCCTCGTGCACGGATGTGATAACTTCCTCAGTCGCAGGGTCAATTGTATCAAATTTCTTATCGCTCTCGACAAACTTGCCGTTGATAAACAGGCGGGTTTCGATAGCGTTCTTGTCCACGGCACACGTCATGATGATGGTAGTTGAGTTTAAATATACTTTGTTTTAATACAATGTAATTGCTGTATAAACAGACAGGCTACTTCTTTATATACAAATCATTTCTAAAACATCTTTGAGACATAAAAACTTTTACTAAATATTTTTGTTCGACGTTGCGCATTTGTACGGGATTTTGTATCTTTCATTTGAGCGCTATGGGAATTTGAAAATAGTATCCGCAGTCCGTTATCCGCCGCACGTATACGCAGATTTCTATTGGTGTAAGGCTGTGCAGCTTTTCAATGGGACTTTTTTTGAGTATTTTCATTGTTTTGATGTTTTTTTTTCAGAAGAAGGGCACTGTACCTTTTTTTATAGGGTTTTTAGAGTTTCGGTTTTGAACTTTTTGCTCTTTTCTATAAATACATTTTTGTGGAAAAATATTTCCTGGAGGGGCTGGAAAAAAAAGTGGTGAGCAAAGGTAAAACACATGTCACTCGTCATTCAAAAATAATCTGATAAGTAAGCCACACATGCAGAAATAAAAAGTAGACAACTGTATGCGAAGTATTAGCAAATCTATTTAGCATGCCTCAGGTGCGTAGTAGTAAAACCTTGCGTCAATGCCTTTTTTTAGTGTTGCGTTGGTCGTTGTTCTATAACTATGTATGTCGTAGATGTCCAAATTGTGTGTGTATTGTGTTATCGTTTTCGAGCAGTATACGACCCACTGATCATTCTAATACTTATACGCCGATACAGAACGAATACATCGAGCTCGCGCAGAAGCGACACGGAAAACGATTGGATCATGACGAGAGAAAGTAAGTGAGCTTAATCTTCTATAATTGCATTGTTGTTGTTTCTACGTATAAGTTGGCGGTTAATTATATGATAGCCCTGAAAGCCGACTATTCAGGTATATTACCGGAACAACACCTTTTTTTTTTTGAGGTTTCATTGTTGGATATAGTTATTGTTGTATTGTGCAGTAAAATACATATATATATATATATATAATGTATACATGTATATAACATGTATATACATGTACAGGTATATGTATATTTAACGTATCTTTATCTTAACGCTTTAATGTATATTTATATATATATATGTATATATATATATATAATTTACGCTTACGTATACGTAGAAAAAACGCACACATTTACAAGCGCGCACGCATATATATATGTATATATATGTATATATATATACGTTTGTGTGTGTTAATATATATATATGTACATAAATATATGTATATATACTTACAAGTATATATATATATATATATATATATACTTACAAGTATGTATATATATATATATATATATATATATATATATACTTACAAGTATGTATATATATATATATATATAAATATACTTACAAGTATATATATATATATATATAGAGTGAAACGCACACACACAGACATATATATATTTATATAGTGTGTCTGTATGAATGAATATATATATATATATATATAGATTTATATATATGTATGTATGTATGTATGTATATATATGTATTTATGTATAAATATATATTTATATATATATATATATATATATATCTATCTTTACAAATATACTTATGCACGTACGTATGTATGTATATGAATATATATACATATACGTGAATATATATATATTTGTTTGTTAGTGTGTATGTAAGTGTACAAGTGAAGTTCAAGAATAATAAGTATATATCCTTATACTTCTTACACATACACTCACATATATATACATGTGTGAATGTGTATATCTGTTAATATGTAATTGTTTACACATAAAAGTATATATTAAAAACTTTTACTGTGTAGTTTGGATATACATGCTTGTGTATATTTATTTGATTTCCTTTTTTCCTATTGTTACATTAATTTGTATATATATGTGTATACCTATATAATTTCCTATATGTTTGTTTATAAACATGTACGTGTAATCGTACATATATTCATGCATACATATTTCTAAACTGTTTACACTGTATATTCGTAAATATCTCGTGCTGAGCTGATCGATTTTTCCTGGAAGTCTTTGTTGTAAGCTTGGTCGTCTTTGTATCTTTGTGTCGTGTAGGCAAGTATCTTATGTGGATTATGGTACTATTATCACGATTATGCTCTCTTATGGATTGTTCTGAATGATGCATACGTTAAAATTGCCCTTCAGTACACCCTTTCGGGTATATATTCAGAGAGCTCATTTTTGATACTGCTTCTCTTTGTTGATAGGCGTAAACGTGAGGCTCGTGCTGTCCACGACTCCTCTGCTAAAGCTCAGAAATTGTTTGGTTTGAAGGCTAAGTTATACAACAAGAAGCGTCATAATGAAAAGGTGCAAATGAAGAAAACATTAAAAATGCACGATGAAAGGACGAACAAGCACAAAGACGATGAAGCTGTTCCCGACGGTGCTGTGCCAGCTTATCTGATCGATCGAGAGGGTCAGTCTAGGGCGAAGGTTTTGAGTAATATGATAAAGCAGAAGAGAAAAGAGAAAGCCGGAAAATGGAATGTGCCAATTCCCAAGGTTAGTAACGGTTTGTGCCTGACAGCACAAGGGGGCATAAAGGTTATTCGACGCAGCATTGATTGTGTAGAGTCCACAATAACAACTTAATGCGGTTACTTTTAGTACCTGCGTATGTTGAATCGTGTGAATGACCGTTTCGGATATGTGTACCTCGAACCGACGACTTTCTCAACTTGGTGGAAGGAATCATCTGCTTAGTATATCTACTTGTATTGTATCTTGCATAGGTTGCGGCGGTTGCGGAGAATGAAGTCTTCAAGCAAATTTCGTCCGGCAAGCGTCAGAAGAAGGGTTGGAAGCGTTTAATTACCAAGGCCACCTTCGTTGGAGAAGGTTTCACACGAAAGCCCGCTAAATACGAAAGGTTCATTCGTCCTATGGCTATGCGTTACACAAAAGCGCATGTTACGCATCCCGAGCTTAAGGCTACATTTCATCTGCCTATTATTGGTGTAAAGAAGAATCCAAGTTCGCCTATGTACACGCAGCTTGGTGTCATGACCAAGGGAACAGTTATAGAGGTATGTATATTTTAACGGGCATTTGCTTTCTGCTTTCCTTCTCATGTTGGGTCTTTGTTTTACTTTTCGTTCGCTACCCTAACACAACAAATTCGGTTGACTCTTTCGCAGGTGAATGTCAGTGAGCTCGGTCTTGTTACGACGACCGGAAAGGTGGTTTGGGGTAAATATGCACAAATAAGCAATAACCCGGAGTTGGATGGTGTCATAAATGCCGTGCTCTTGGTCTAAATAATTGAATTTTGGAGGCGTGAAGTTCTGCTAACCCGGCATGTCGTCTGGACTTCTGACGTTCAACAAGTGTCTTAGAGAAATAATATATAAAATCGAAACTACTATATCCGCCATTGCCAATCTTTTGTGTACGATTATATCCCCCGCTGCATGTTTGCAGTTTGCCATCTTCCCGTGAATTACCGTCGGGGATAGTATTTTTTTGCCTCTGGTACACGAATAAGTCCAAATAGATTGCTGCATGAATTTGGATGATTTGCACTGAAGTATTTAAGTATTTATCGGCTTTTCTTCTTTCAACACCCGCCCCCGCCCCCCCCCCCCCCCCCAATCCGAAACATAAAGGCCCTCTGAAGTGAAACGCCTGATGTATTTTTATAGATGCATGATTGTATGTATGTCTAATTTAAAAGGCTATGTATGTATGTACTAAGTTATAAAATGTATTTCGTTGTCCTCCGCGGATTTATGTACATTCTCGTGGCAGTGGTGACCCGGCACCGCGGCCAGGCGGCGTGAGCTGAGCTCGGTATTTTTTTTTTGATTTTTCGTCGACAATATTCTGACTCTGTGGGCTGTGGGCTATGGCCTATGGACCTGCGGCCTGTGCCCTGTGCCCTGTGCCCTGTGCCCTGTGCCCTGTGCCCTATCCGGGCTGTGGCCCAAAATGAAAATACTGAGCAGTCCTGCAGTTAGCCGCCAAAATGTGCAACTGAACCAAGCAATATCCAATGAATCGCAAGATCCTTAAGCTTGATTCATTGGTCAATGGCTCATATCGAATATCCAAACTGGTTTTGTTTTGTATAGTTTTAAAAAAAACAATGAACACCACGGGTATGTATTATAGTGCGAAATTTTTTCCCCAAAATCCCATATTTTTTATTTTAAAAGTTAAATAAATCGCATCACAGGGTTTATGCGACCTACGACCTACGACCCACGCTATGGGAGAAAAACAAATTATTTCGAATACTATACGACCGGTTAGGAAAGTTTTGTATTAAAATTTGTACCGGATAAAATTTGTTGCCAGTTTTGGGGTCATCATGTGACAATCTTCATTCATCAAACACCAAATGACCAAACACCAATGACGTCATAGATATGGACAAAATGGCAAATGCAATACTTTACACTAAATACAAAACATAAAAATCAAGAGCTGTTGTATGTATTTATTTTTGTTTATCTGGCTCTGGTATTTTTTTACTAATATTAGTAGAATTATCATACAAACTTTTATAGGAACAATGAAACGGGGTGACGACTCTCAGACGCACCAGCCATCACGGAAGTGCATACTAGGATCCGAAATGACGCAGACCACACTAAAAAAAGATGCCTTGGCTGATCTAATTTCTCAATTACGCTTCGGAGTGGATGTCCGTGATCGTACTTACCACCTTAAAGCGTACAAGCAGGTCTTTGTTGGCAGTGATGCCGTTGATTTCATCGAAGTCACTGCTGGGGTAACTGATTTGATGACTTTGAACATTTCGCCGCTCAGCACATCCTTTGTACAATCCCATACACGCTATGTGAATACTCATAATACAACATAATGAAAATACTCGCAGGCACACAATATATATATATAAATATATATATGTGTGTGTGTGTATACGTACGTGCAATCGTACGTATGTATGTATACAAATAAACATATATATACATATAGAGGTACGTACGTACGTACATATGTACATACAAACATACATGCATGCATGCACACACACACACTTAAATATA